AGTTACGTATATGTGTGTGTGTGTGTGTGTGTGTGTGTGTGTGTGTGTGTGTGTGTGTGTGTGTGTGTGTGTAAAAATAAAATAGAGAGAGTATACAGAAAGGATTAACTCATTAATCCATCACAGATCTCAGCATTTATTCCTATGCTACATACTGATAAAGAGTTTGTTTGTAAACCATTAAATGACGCTAAAGCCAAAACACAACAGGAGGTGTGAGATTAGTAACTATCCAACAGATTCCTCTCTGTAAACCTCTTTTTATGTGTATTGCCTATCCAAGCTACTGGAAGATTCCCACTGGGGGGAGGGATAGCTCAGTGGTTTGAGCATTGGCCTGCTAAACCCAGGGTTGTGAGTTCAATCCTTGAGGGGGCCATTCAGGGATTTAGTTGGGGATTGGTCCTGCTTTGACCAGGGGGTTGGACTGGACCTCCTGAGGTCCCTTCCAACCCTGATATTCTATGATTCTAGGACTTCAGTGAACTTTAAATCAGGCCCTAAATTTGTCCAAAACCAGAATCCGCTCACCCCAACTGAAAGCCATCTACAACCACATTCATTAGATTTATTTCATGCATTCCAACCGACCACACCATAGGTCACAAATATGTTAAGTGCCCTGAAGCATAACCACACAACTTAGCTGACTTAGTCTTACTACCTGGTTCCTTTTGGTGCACGTGTTTTGTTTAGCTTCTCTACAAAAGTGGCCTGCCGCATAGAACAAACATCCCTTTAAGGCTCAGAAAACGAAGCCTGATCCGTGAAGTATATTTTCAAACCTTCACATGGATTCTGCTTCTTGGCTGAATACATCATTCGGGCATTTTAGGAGTTGGTTGAAAGGAACAGGGAATTCATGTTTTGTTTCATGATCTCAAAGATGGCGACTTCAAAAGCGTTCAGTGTTGGCCTGATTCTGCTCCCACTAAAGTCAATGGGTGTTTGACCATAGACTTCAACAATCTTAGCCTAGCAAAACAAAGGGTGAGGGGATAGGATTGATCTCTATAAATATATTCAAGGGGGTGGTGGAGGGAGAGAAGAACAACTATTTAAGCTACAGGACAACACTGGCACAAGAACAAATGCATCTAAGCTGGCCATGAGTAAAGGCAGGCTGGAAATGAGAAGGATTTAAACAATCAGAGGAGTGAGGTTCGGGAACAGCCTTTCAATAGGAGCAAACAAACTTTTTTTTAAATTGCAGCGTGATAAGTTTATCAGCAGGATTATACAACAGGTTGCCTGGGACAGCAGAATACTGGCCTCCATGATGGGTCCCTTCCAGACCCGTGTTCTTAATAGGCAGCAGAGCCAGGTGAATGTTTCCAGAAAACTCACCTTTAGATGCTGCAAAACAGCACAGGGTAAACGAGAGTCAGAGTTGCATGCTTAGGCAAGATCCATTATACAGAAAAACCCATGGGCTGAACTCTCCACTCAAAAGGTGGCTGGAATTCATGGTGAACAATTTCTCTCATCAACTTTGGCAGGCTTTTTGTGACACAGTTGTTCACAAATGGCTGCATAATTTGAGCAGACCTATAGATGGTTGAACATATGGCAAACAATGTGACTTTTCTGTTAATAGGCAAAAAATTTATTCATGAGTACATTTTCTCATCAATATAAACGTTATGGCAATACACCGAGTCCCTGATCAGGAGTGAGACCCATTGTGCTAGACATTGTCTAGAGGGTAGATGCAGTCCTTGCCCAGAAGAATTGACAATCAAATATGTTATTCAGACAGCTCCACCCTGTACCATTGGTATCTGAGAGTTACCTTCAGATCCCTGTGGATTATAGGCGTTTTACACTGGTGCAACCTGGCTACAGCTTCACAGGTATCGCAAAAAATCTGCAAGACCTCATTCTCTGTGAATCCCGTCTGCAAGCGTTGGTTCATCAGGTTCACCACCTGGCCTCCTGAAAGGAGGAAAAGGCAAAATAAATTAATTAAACATGCACCTACTGCTAAAGCACAGATCAATCAAAAAGGAGCCACCTTCTCGAAAGGGGTCCAACATGCCAGGTTTTCAACTGCCTGGTATTGTGACATGTGTGGCCTTAGGGTCTGAGCATAATCCTGGGAACTAGAAACTCATGAGTTCCAACTCCACCTTGGATCAAATCTCCCCCTGCAGCCTTCAGCATCTCACTTAAGCAACCAACTTAACCTCCTGGTCCATCGGTAAAATGAAGTGTCTGATGTACCAAACTGTCAGGAGGTGCCACATGGAGAATTTATGTTTGGAAAGTGATTTGAGAGTAGTTACTGATTTTAATCTAAGATTTAAAGTTACCATTAAGCGCCTCCAGCCCCAAATCTATACTAGGAAAAATAACTGCAACGTTCAAACATGTTTTTGATGAAGCCATGTTCTTTTCTTTTCTCTGTAGTCATAAAACCCCCACAAGATTAGAGAAATACCTTTTAGTCGTACATAGTTTGGGCTAAACCAGCGGCTCCCAACCTTTCCAGATGACTGTACCCCTTTCAGGAGTCTGATTTTGCTTCAAACCTCCAAGTTTCACCTCACTTAAAAACCTACTTGCTTACAAAACCAGACATAAAAATACAAATGTCACAGCACACTATTACTGAAAAATGGCTGTCTGTCTCACTTTTACCATATAAATTATAAAATAAATCAATTGGAATATAAAGATTATACTTGCATTTCAATGTATAGTATATAGAGCAGTATAAACAAGTCCTTGTTTATACAAAAATTTTAGTTTGAACTGACTTTGCTACAGCTTTTTATGTAGCTGGTTATAAAACTAGGCAAATATCTAGATGAGTTGATGTACCCCCTTGGAAGACCTCTGCGTACCCCCCAGGGTACGCATATCCCTGGTTGAGAACCTCTGGGCTAAATATAGTTAACCAACTTTTTTTTGCAAGAAAAAGACAAACAAAAAGAAAAGACACCCCCCCCCCACACACACACACACCCCATATGGTTTGGCCAGAAATGCGTCTCAACCATGAATTTTTTTTGTAGTGTAGATGGGGGACCTTGAGAAAGCAACCGAGTGAGAGCGACAGACCAAAATTTTCAAGAGTGACCAGTGATTTTTGGTGCCTCAATTTGTGTACCTGTCCTCTGAAAGTCTGGGTACTTCCAGGTGTTATGAGTTGAGCACCAAAAATCACTAGTTACTTTTGAAAACCTTGGCCATAAAAAACTTGTAGCAAAGGAGAAGTGTCATTTAAGTCATAAATATCAGAAGGTGTCAAAACCTGTCTAACATGAATATACTGTACAGCAGTGGCATTAAGCTCAGTTTTAAACTGTTCATGCTCTTATATCAGAGTGTGATCTCTGCATATGGAGGCAGAATGATTGATATCATCAGCTCTCTTTACCAAGGAGGAAAGCAGTGATAAGAGGAAATCTAATATTTTTATAGAATTGTGTCTAAAATATTTAGAAGCATTTGTCACCTAAGCATTTTCAATACAATTGTTTTCATGACACTAGGGGGCATCTGGATGTGGGTCTTCTCCGTCCCTATCATCATTGTGGGAAGCAAAGCCTCAGCCTTCCCTCCAAGCCCCATGCAACAGATGTCTCTACACAGCTAACAGATGTGCAATAGCATCCATCTCTCTCTTGAATAGCACACTGGCAGATTCCTTTTCAGATTTGTGGTAATCAAGTCTTCATAGGAGTCTCACTACTTGACAATGCTCATGTACCTCTTCCTGACCTAAGGGGTTATTCCGGAGGCTTGTAATCAATATTGTTTATACAAAAAGTTACTTTATTCACCCTTCCCCTCCTGTCTGGCACTTAATTTTAACAATGTCCAGCCCACTGGAGGCTTTGATCTATCTGTGGTTAGAATCATTTGAAGTTGGGGAATTAGAAACAGACTCATACACTGTATTAAAATGTAACTTGCAGGAAGACACACCACACCCCCACACCCACACCCCCATTAAGCAAAGGAGAATTTCACTGTTTAGTCTGGTGGCCTCAGAAGACTGAGGTTATTTCATGTGGAAGCAGCAGACGGAAATAAAATACAGAGAACCATTAGGCCTAGCAACTTAAGCAATGGACATCTTAGCCAATAGAAGAAGGTGCTAGCAGTTCTATATTCTTATTCTCGTGTATAATGGAGACCTATTCATTTTATTGTGGGGCAGGATTCTTGACTGGCTTGGTTACCAATTATTCACTGATGACAAGGAAGGGTTGGGCCTAGGAGTAGTTTTCCTAAAGAAAATTATTATACAAGTGCCTTGAGAGTTCCTCAGAGGAATACCTGTCCCAATGAGCAACACCTTGAACGAACACTTACCTCGGCAAAAGTCCATTAGAATCAAGACTTCCCACACATCACCACTGCTCACTGAGTTTATACTAGAATCAATGTATCCAACAATGTTCTTGTGTCCAGATAGATCCCTCTGTAAGAAAAGACACGTTAAAGCACAAAACCAGCCAGGTATACAGCAGTTACATTTTAATAAATTGATCTGTACAGTACAGACTTCCCAGTGTTGACCTGTCTAGTCCCTGTGTTAAGGAACAGATCACACAGAAGTTAGTCAACTTTTAATTCTGCCTTTGTTGGTTTCCTGTCCAGTGAAACTTAGGGCAAGAAGTCTTGAACAACAAGTCACCCAGCCCCCTGAACAATCTATTGTGCCTCTGGTCAAGAGGTGTGCCCATGAGACTAGCCTGATCCAGATTTAGGTTCTCTCACTGATTGGGTGCTCCATGGGGAGTAACCTAGAGCAAGCACTTATATCTGCACAAGGGAGACTGAGCCAGCAATTGCCATGTATAGAATGAGCTGCATTTCCTCTCTACCCTCCCCAGATTAAACTGCATGTTAAACTAACAAGTTTGACCTTTTAAAAATGCAGCTCTCTTCTGTAGAGTGATAGTAAAATGGCTTTTTGGGATCCTACATTTAGCTATTTTTGCATCTTACAGGAGATGCTTCTTTCAAACACCCAGGTTTGCAAACATGCTGGGATGCAACAGTCAAGGTGGGTTCTTTCCTTCTTGCGCAACCTCATCAGTAATAGGCCTTGGCTACACTTACCCGCTAGTTCGGCGGCTGGCAATCGAACTTCTGGGTTCGACTTATCGCGTCTAGTCTGGACGCGATAAGTCGAACCCGGAAGTGCTCGCCGTCGACTGCGGTACTCCAGCTCGGCGAGAGGAGTACCGCGGAGTCGACGGGGGAGCCTGCCTGCCGAGTGTGGACCAAGGTAAGTTCGAACTAAGGTACTTCGACTTCAGCTACGTTATTCACGTAGCTGAAATTGCGTACCTTAGTTCGAATTAGGGGGGTAGTGTAGACCAAGCCATAGAGATTCTTCATGTTAAATTCTGCCTTCACTTACAATCAGAAGATTAGGGTTGGAAGAGACCTCAGGAGGTCATCTAGTCCAACCCCCTGCTCAAAGCAGGACCAACACCAACTAAAGCATCCCAGCCAGGGCTTTGTCAAGCCAGGCCTTAAAAACCTTTAAGGTTGGAGATTCCACCACCTCCCTACGT